GACTTATAATCAGTTGCTAACTTCTGTTTGTCGTGACTTATAATCAGTTTCTGTCTTCTGTTTGTCCAGACTTATAATCAGTTGCTGACTTCTGTTTGTCCAGACTTGTAATTAGTTGCTGTCTTCTGTTGGGTTTTTTTCTGTGCTGGTAATGGCGTTTGAAAATCTTACTATTTTAGGAAATCATTCTCAGTGTGGTGTTTGTATGCTTTATTTTCCCCAGACGGTGAGACATTGTTTTATCTGAGGGTTTTCCTTCCAGACACATCCCCTTTGACCGTTCTTCCGTTTGTAAGTACAGATACCATACTTGGTGTAACAGCTAAAGATTCCGGTGTCCATCATACACTGGTTGTTGGTCCGCGCAGATGTTGTGTGCAGACATTGTGAACCGGTACAACATCGGACCTGTGGGAATAGAATCTCTATTTTAACGCCTGCTTGTCACATGCTATATAAATTAAACCACAAAGAAACTGGGTTTAGAAATCACACAATGCATTAAAAACATATACATTATACCAATAAGTATATATTTATGTGGATAGGTGGGGCTGGAATTGTGGAAAAAATTACATAAAATGTTCATGGTTTTGAAACAATATATTAATTAGTACAGGAAGCATTCATCATGTGCTTAATATAACACTTTTTCTGGTTGGCTCATTTGAATGCATTTAAAGAATCGCATTGGATGTCCTGAAAAATACAACCTTGTTCTGAGGATGTCTTGAATAGTGAGTCCTAAGGGTTCTCAAACAAAGTAATCATGGAGAACCTGATTCTTATTGTAAAGAAACATTGAAAAGACAGAAGATCCTGTGATTTCTGATTTTTTTTACCTGACATCGACAGTTGTCCTGATAAAAACTCCTTAGTCCCGTCCGCTGGCGATAAGTCAGCTTGGCCATGTCCTCTACCCAGCCACAGCTGTTCACCCATAAGCTACCACGACGAATGTGTCCTGTCAGGATGTACGTGGTGTTCTGTAGGAGTGACACGCGGCAGTCGTACACCGATCCTGGGGTGTTGATGGTCGTTTGGCGGTGAATGGCTCTCCTTCTCCCTCTTCCCCTTTCAAACTGCATAGGGAAACAAAAAACATAGCTTACGTATACTAGATAAATTGCAAATGGTAAACAGGTTACAAAAATAATGTAAACAGATTACCCAGACTTCTCGTTATACTCAATGTCATTAAAGTCAGGTGTCAGAAATAGCCTAAAGACCAGGTGGTTACATAAGGCAGGTTTATGATAGGGGTCTATCTTACAACACAGGTGGTTACATAAACAGGTTTATGATAGGGTCTATCTTACAACCCAGGTGGTTACATAACCAGGTTTATGATAGGCTCTATCTTACAACACAGGTGGTTACATAACCAGGTTTCTGATAGGGGTCTATCTCACAACACAGGTGGTTACATAAACAGGTTTATGATAGGGTCTATCTTAAAACACAAGTGGTTACATAAACAGGTTTATGATAGGATCTATCTTACAACACAGGTGGTTACATAAACAGGGTTATGATAGGGGTCTATCTTACAACACAGGCGGTTACATAAACAGGGTTATGATAGGGGTCTATCTTACAACACAGGTGGTTACATATATATAAACAGGTTTATGATAGGGGTCTATCTTACAAAACAGGTGGTTACATAAACAGGTTTATGATAGGGTCTATCTTACAACACAGGTGGCTACATAAACAGGTTTATGATAGGGGTATATCTTACAACACAGGTGGTTACATATATATAAACAGGTTTATGATAGGGGTCTATCTTACAACACAGGTGGTTACATAAACCAGGTTTATGATAGGGGTCTATCTTACAAAACAGGTGGTTACATAACCAGGTTTATGATAGGGTCTATCTTACAACACAGGTGGTTACATAAACAGGTTTATGATAGGGTCTATCTTACAACACAGGTGGTTACATAAACAGGTTTATGATAGGGGTCTATCTTACAAAACAGGTGGTCTGTCAACACTGGTGTTGATTTGTGTATCTATAGGTGAACAATCTGACTTACCCTATATACATGCTGTACTTTGATATGGTAGGTAACACTTTCTATACTGCCGACAGGATACAGGTCTTTTCCCGTCTCTCCAGTCACATAATTCAAGGTGATGTTTTCTACTCGGGCTACTATCACTGACAGATTTAAAAATAATTAATCATTTTATTTTTTTTATTTATAGAAACAGGTTCATTATCCTTTTCATTAAAATCGCAATTCATTTCTTTTTGAAATATTTTCTGTTTTTCCTCTTATAACTCATTCACCCCTGATGTTATTTTTTTAATTATTCTCTTCAAAGATATTTTATGAGCAAAAATTCTTTAAATTATCATATAATGGTATAATGGCAACAACCAAAATGTACACATGTAGCATGTATTTACTAAAATTATAGCTGCTTTGTAGTTTGGCTTTTATAAGGAATGTTTTCCAGCTGAACATTAAATCAAATTTGCAATCTCACCTATCCTGCTAATTTCTGCTGTCCTCTTGGACTGGGTATAACTATGTAATTGTAGGGTCTTACCTACAGTGTATAATAAGTTCTGGCCAATCTCATTTTTAACGATTTCTACATAAACACTCACCAAGTTGAGCTGTACAAAATAACTGCTGGGGGTGTTTGATGGCACATCTACAGGAAGTCACTAATGGCCAGAATAACTGGACAGTGGTCAAGAGGATCATTAGTGTCTTCAGAAGTCCTCTCTTGTAATCCATGTTGGTGTTATTCTCAGTACACCAACTCGCAAAATTGCTTCGAAACGAAATGTTTGACCGGTGGTATCTTCAGCTGTGTCCTTATGTGTTACACAGCTTGGGTATATAGCGTCCCCATTTTTTATATCGTATATATTCTGACGTGGGTTGTTTGTTCAGCCTCATCCACGCTTTGTTATCTATCACCTTTATTGTTCTGAAGATTATGATTTTATTGAGGGTTTGACAACTTGTGTTTAGGTCTGAGTGATGTGTTACTATACAATAAGTCCCTGTAATCATCGTGTCTACGTCGCTTTCTGTTTCAGTTACACTAGTAGATTCTATATAGTAAGCTTTGTTAGGATAAAAAGTTGCAAATAAATAAAAAAAAAAATATATTAGAAATGCTGCCTTATATAAATAATTGTCCGTCGTCTTCCTTAAACTATTCTTTTTATCGCTATTTCTCAGGAAGTACCAGAGGGATCTTTCTCAAATTTAACATGTAGGTTCCCCTTGGTCCCTTGTTGTGCAGGTTTAATTTTGAGAATGATCAGATAAACAAAATGGCCGACAGGCAGCCATCTTGGATTTTTACAGTGAAAGTTTATTATCGCTATTTCTTAGGAAGCACTGGAGAGATCTTTTTTAAATTTCAGATGTAGGTTTTCCTTTGTCCCTCGTTGTGCATGTTTATTTTTGAGACTGATC